TTCTCAATTTATTTCTAATTTCTTATCTCCTTCCTTCCTTTCCTCACTTGAACCCGCTTCCTCTCTATCTCCTCTTCCCTTTATCCCTCTCCTCTCCCCTTCCTCTTTCCTTGCTTCTCTTCCTTCCCCTATCCCCCTATCTTCCTCGCTGTCTCTCCTTTCGTCTGTCTCTCCCTATCCTTTCCTCTCCCTCTTCTTCCTCCTCCATTCCCTTTCCTTTCCCCTTTCCCTCTCCTTCCTCTCTCTCTCTCTCTCTCTCTCTCTCTCTCTCTCTCTCTCTCTCCCTCCCTCCCTCTCTCCCTCTCCCTCTCTCTCTCCCTCCCTCTCCCTTCCCCTCTCCCCCTCCCTCGCCCCCTCCCTCTCCTTCCCTTTTCCATCTAACCCCTTTTCTCTCCCCTCCCCCTCTCACTCTCCTCCCCTCCCACTCTCCCCCACACTCTCCCCCACACTCTCCCCCACACTCTCCCCCACCCACAGATCGTCCACGAAACCATCACGGAATACCCAGCAATCACGGTGTGCAACCTGAACCCTTTCCCCCTGAAGGACTCGGTGCCCAAAGGATCCGTGTGGGAGCATCTGGTCGAACTGGAGGCTGATTATGATCAAGGTGAGAGGGGTAGGGAGGGGGGGAGGGAGAGGGAAGACCGGAGGGGGAGAGGGAGATGGAGGGGGAGGGGTGGGGGAGGGAGAGCTGGAGGGAGGGTTGGAGAGGGAGAGGGAGGGAGAGAGGGAGAGGGAGAGGGAGTGGGAGATGGAGAGGGAGAGGGAGAGGGGGAGGGAGTGGGAGATGGAGAGGGAGGGCTGGAGGGGGAGAGGGAGAGGGAGATGGAGAGGGAGGGTTGGAGGGATGGTTGGAGAGGGAGAGGGAGAAGGAGAGGGAGATAGAGGGGAAGGGAGAGGGGGAGAGGGAGAGGGAGAGGGAGAAGGGGAGGGAGATGGAGGGGGAGAGGGAGGGTTGGAGGGAGAGGGAGAGGGAGAGGGAGACAGGGTTGGAGGGGGAGATGGAGAGAGAGGAGGGGAGGGAGGGGGAGAGGGAGGGCTGGAGGGAGAGGGAGAGGGAGAGGGAGAGGGAGACAGGGTTGGAGGGGGAGATGGAGAGGGAGGAGGGGAGGGAGGGGGAGAGGGAGGGATGGAGGGAGAGGGAGAGGGAGAGGGAGAGGGAGACAGGGTTGGAGGGGGAGATGGAGAGGGAGGAGGGGAGGGAGGGGAGAGGGAGGGGGAGAGGGAGAGGGAGAGGGAGAGGGAGAGGAAGGGTTGGAGGGGGAGAGGGAGAGGGAGAGGGAGAGGGAGAGGGAGAGGGAGAGGGAGGGCTGGAGGGGGAGGGGAAGAGGGAGGGCTGGAGGGGGAGAGGGATATGGAGAGGAAGGGTAAGGCGTGGGGTAAGGGAGAAAGAGGGATAGAGGAAGAGGAGGTTGAGAGAGTTAGAGGGAGAGGGAGAGAGAGGGGAGAGGGAGAGGGAGAAAGTTAAAGAGAGAGGGAGAGAGAGGGAGAACGTTAGAGGTATAGGGACGGAGAGGGGTTTTGTTGGGGTAGGAAGGAAGGGGAAGGGGGTAGGTAGGAAGGAGGGGGAGATGGAGAAGGGAGGGGGAAACTAACAGACGAACTAACCGAAAACAAACAAAACAAACAAACAACCACCCAGGCCAACAGACGACCCAACCGAAAACAAAACAAACAAAAACAAACAACCAAACCAAACAAACAACCAACCACACAGACCAACAGACGACCCAACTGAAAGCAACCGACCAGCCCGAGCCTCTCTGAAAACAACCAAACAAAAACAAACAAACAAACCAAAAACAAACAAACAAACAGACGAACCAGCCGGAAACAAAAAAAACTAACCAACCACCCAGTCCAACAGACGCCCCAACCGAAAACAAAACAAACAAACAACCACCCAGACCAACAGACGACCCGACCGAAAACAAACAACCAAATAAACCAAACAAAAACAAAACCAACCAACCACCTTGACCAACAGACGCCCCAACTGAAAACAAACAAACAAAAACAACCAAAAACAAACCATACAAAACCAACCAACCCCCCAGACCAACAGACGAGCCAACTTAAACAAAACAAAGAAACAAACCAACTAGACCAACAGACGACCCGACCGAAAACAAACAACCAAACAAACCAAACAAAAACAAAACCAACCAACCACCCAGACCAACAGACGAATCAAAACAAAAACAACCAAACAAAAACAACCAAAACAACCAGACGCCCCACTCGAACCCAACCGAAACCAACCAACCAAACAAACAAAACAACCAGACGCCTCACCGGAACCCAACCGAAACCAACCAACCAAACAAACAAAACAACCAGACGCCCCACCCGAACCCAACCGAAACCAACCAAACAAACAAACAAAACAACCAGACGCCCCACCCAAACACAACCGAAACCAACCAACCAAACAAACAAAACAACCAGACGCCCCACCCGAACCCAACCGAAACCAACAAAACAAAACAAAACAAAACAACCAGACGCCCCACCCGAACACAACCGAAACCAACCAACCAAACAAACAAAACAACCAACCAAACAAAACAAAACAAAACAAACAAAACAAACAAAACAACAGACGCCCCACCCGAACACAACCGAAACCAACCAACCAACCAAACAAACCAACCAGACGCCCCACCCAAACACAACCGAAACAAACAAACAAAACAACCAGACGCCCCACCCGAACTCAACCGAAACCAACCAACCAACCAAACAAAACAACCAGACGCCCCACCCAAACACAACCGAAACCAACCAACCAAACAAACAAAACAACCAAACGCCCCACCCGAACTCAACCGAAACCAACCAACCAACCAAACAAAACAACCAGACGCCCCACCCAAACTCAACCGAAACAAACAACCAAACAAAAACGAAACCACCAACCAACCAACCAAACAAAAAAACAAAACAACCAGACGCCCCACCGACCCGAACCAACAAAACAAACAAAAACAACAGACGCCCACCGGAACACACCGAAACCAACCAACCAAACCAACCAACCAACCAGACGCCCCATCCAAACCCAACCGAAACAAACAAAACAACCAGACGCCCCACCCAAACACAACCGAAACCAACCAACCAACCAAACAAAACAACCAAACGCCCCACCCGAACTCAACCGAAACCAACCAACCAAACAAACAACCAACCAGACGCCCCACCGAACCCAACCGAAACAAACAAAACAACCAGACGCCCCACCCGAACACAACCGAAACAAACAAAACAACCAGACGCCCCACCCAAACCAACCAACCAAACAAACAAAACAACCAGACGCCCCACCCGAACACAACCGAAACCAACCAAACGAACAAGCAAAACAACCAGACGCCCCACCTGAACACAACCGAAACCAACCAAACAAATACAAACAAACCAACCAGACGCCCCTCCCGAACACAACCGACCAGCCTGTCCTCACCTTCCCTCGTTTCCCCCGACAGCCAAGTCCTGTGACGACCTGAGTTTCAGCACGCACTTTGGAGTCAGCGGCGTTGCGGACTACTTCGGCGATCAGTACGACTACGGGGACTACGACTTCTACAACGGTGAGGATAATGGAGTGATGTTTTTTTTGTGTTTTGTTTTTATTTTGTTGGTTTGTTTGTTTAATTATTATTTTTTCTTTATTTGTTTCTTTGAGTTTTTTTTTGTATTTTGTTTTATTTTGTTTGTTTGTTTGTTTAATTATTTTTTTCTTTATTTGTTTCTTTGAGTTTTTTTGTATTTTGTCTTATTTTGTTTGTTTGTTTGTTTAATTATTTTTGTCTTAATTTGTTTCTTTGATTTTTTTGTATTTTGTTTTATTTTGTTTGTTTGTATGTTTTTCGTTACCTATTTTTTATTTTTTTATTTTATCTTTTCTATTTATGATTTTCTTTTATCTATTTCTTATTTTATTTGTGTATTTATTATTTCGCTTATTTATTCATTTCTTTCTCATTTTCTTTATGCCTTTATTATTTTATCTTATTTATTCATTTATTAATTATTTCATT